ACATAGGTGGCTTCTTGGGAGATCTAATCGTCTTAAAATCATGACTTCGTCAAAATCATAATTTTATCGAAAGCTTGTTCAGCGACAGGAGCTATCGATAGAGTCGACATCTTTATCACAGTAATCATTCACTGAAATTCGCCTATAGACTTAATAGCAGTTCTCTAACACGTTTTTTCTCATGAGATATGTGTATGTATAAAACAACGAAAATGATCTTTTTTCGTATACCTCATAGTATTGATGGACTCATCAATAGTTCACTCATATGAAGCCATTTTAATATGATAAGCACATCAGCTTGCTGGGTGTGGGTGGGGTGTGGATGTGTGAGTAAGAGAGAAATGATACTCACACCCACACCCTGTATTTCTCTGGTACTGGCCATATATATAGGCAAAGCAATATCACCTCAAATTGCTCCATCCACACCCACACCCATACTCACATCGTTTTCATGTGAAAAATGTTTTTCTGTCTTTTGCACAATGTGAATCAGACTTCTTTTGAAAAATATAGAACGATTTTTCTCTACCACATTTTCATCGATGTCAAAATTTGCTGATTAAGCATCACTTTACCTAAATATTGACTTTGTGCTGTTTTTCTTGGAAGTTGGAAAAAAAACCACTACTGACAGTCAACAACGCGCGTAGTTCTCCATTTTATTATGGAATCCTTTCTGCGCAAATGAAAGCAACCACTCAAGTGTCCCTTCTGCTAGGTACAGGCATCGACTTTCCGGGGGAAAAGCAACGAGCAGGCATGTACATTAATAAAATAGGATGTGTGCGTGTGTGTGTGGATGTCCGTTTGGGTGTGGAGTGTGCCTGTGGGTGTTTGAGATGGGCGTTGACGTGTGAGGTTGACTCTCGATCTTCTGATCCTCATGAGCACGTCCTCACATCCACGCACCCACCCACACCCACACACCCACACCCACCCATACCCTATTCATGATGGGCTATCCATATACGATATGGCTATAAAAATCGGCCGGTTTGGCTCTTCCGCTCATCTTCGCCACAGAGTATGGGTGTCGGTATGGATTGTGCCTTTATGTTCACTCATATTGACCCACATTCAAAAATGAAAATGATTTTTTTTATCAGCTTAGAACATGGTTAATGTCAAATCGATGGGATATGTTGTAAAATTTTAATGTTTATAATATTCTGACGAAATTTTATTTAGGTAAACAAAACAACAAAGCTAGAGCAAAAAATATGAAAAAACTAGTATAAGCACAAAGAATTCGCATCGAATTTCCAGGGTCAAAAAACCAATTTGGTATAAAAAAACTCACACTTCGTTCTGTTCGTCTGATAGGACTTTCAGTTTCTCTGATCTTCCGGTTTTTATCAATTAATGATGTATAGGTTTTAACTATTTCTATAAACTTTTTGGAGTCACCACCACGATCAGGATGATGCTTTTTACACAATGCACGATATGTTCGCTTTATTTCAGTGATTGATACGTCACTGTCGGCATTCGATGCTGCCCTTTGATCATTTCTTGTGTGATGTTCAGTTGTCTTTACTAATACATGATAAACAACAATAAGTAAAGTAATGCATGTTAAAATTAAACCAATTGTGGTTAGTATGGCTCGTCGTCCTGTATCAGTTTGATTTACTCGGAATGATAGGTATTCACTCAAACATGTAGCAGTATTGAACGTATCAGTGGAATGTAATACATTTTTTCTTTCTTCTGTATTACACCATAACCAATATGCTATTGATACAAGAATAAATACAACCAGAGGGAAAACAAAATAAAACGCCTCTCCATTTTGGTCATATTCCAATTTCATTTCTGCCGTGACGGCTTTGAACTTCTTTTAATAATGTTTCTATGGAGTAAAACACGCTGCGAAAATTGATGCTGATGTTAGAAATGTGATTCATGTTGCTACGTGGAAACACCAATCACATTTCTTATTTCAGCATTAACTTTCGCAGTGTGTTTGACCCTGAGCACATGTGTGAAGCACGGCTTGTAGCTTCTTTCGACTCGACGAATATCATATCGATACAGGTCAGAAGGAAGGAAGACATTATTGAGGCACACCAGATGTCATGCTATGCAGAACTTTTGAAAAAAAATCATCGTTACAATTCATCAAGAACTAAATGATTCATTCTGATTGAATTCTTGTTGCAATAACGAAACTGTGCCGTCCAATAGAAATAATAAGTTGCCGGAGTCGTTTTTTCCAAGAAAACTCACAGATGCAAGGTCAATAGTATTTTGAATCAGTTATTTCTTGGCTTCACAATGATGTGCATATTCTTTAGAAAAATATTAATAATTTTTTGTATTGAGTTTACCTATATGCAGATACATTGCGAGAGTGTGCTGGTGTATGGGTGGGTGTCTGAATGTGTCGAGTGTGCGTCGTGTTCAATGGGTATCCGTGTTCTTTTTAGTCATATCCATATCCATCCACTACCACATCCTCTATAGTATATAGGGATGACTTAATGAAGCTCAGTAGTGACATACTGTAGATACTAGGGATATTATTTCTGGTTCAGTT